AAGAAACCTGAAACTCCTATTACAAATAGATGTGATAAAACAAAACAAATTAACACATTAGTTATGTAAACATAAGTTTCCTATTGAACCTTGAGTACCTCACCCCTTAAGAGTTGGGCAGAATGCCCCAACATAAGTTCTCTGGAATCATGAGTGGTCATTATGATAATCAGAGTTCTTCTTTTTGGGGGGACCTTTTAATTTATTTTTCATATTAAAAAATTTGAATTCCTAATGCTTTCCCTATGATGATCCCTCTCCCACCCATTGAGAAGTCAAACAGCTGTGTGATGTCATTCAAAACATATTTCCATATTAGCCATGCTGAGAGAAAAACAAAAAAGCAAGATAAAGAAAGGGGTGGGGAGAAATGATGCATAAATCTGTACTTCTCCAGGTCACTTGACAGAGGAGGAACTGAGGCAAACAGGGTTAAGTGACTTGCCAAGGGTCACACAGCTAGTAAGTGTCCAAGGTCAGATTCAAGTCATGAAGATGAGTCTTCCTGACTTCAGACTCAGCTTCTATCCACTGCACCAGCTAATTGCCCTGTATTTGTGTGATGCAAGATGTCAAAGGTACACTTAGATAATACCACAACTATCTATTTTTCATTCTGATACAGGCTCCTTTCCTTATTAATTATCGCCTGCTTGGTTTTACAGTAACCTAGTGGGTAAGCTCAGGACTATTTCAAAAATTAAGAAAATTCCCTCCACTTGGCTCAGTCCCTACTCTGGAATAAGACTTCTACTATGGACTAGATTCCTTTTTCTTAAACAACAAACTTGATATAATTAGACACCTCACTGCTAGTGACCAAGCAATTTATTAACAGTATCAAGAAAAAAAGAAAAGAGAATAAACAATTAAATAAAATGCAGAATACTGCAATTGAAGCAGAAGTCAGAGTTACCTCTGGGCTCTGGGAAACCAGGGGAGAAAGGAGCTGCTAGGTGGACTTGCTCTCCCTTCCATCCTCTTCTGGTTCTGTTTGTCTCACCACAGTCAACTCCTCTGCCATACACTTGTCTTCTCTGTTCTTGTTTATCTACTTCTATCTTGCCTCCTCTGCCCCCTCATGTGGTGCCTTAAAATTTGGGAGCAAGTCCCTTCTTCAAGGCCACTCAAACCCCTAAAGTAATTGGTTTCCCCTTGGATTGTCTATTAGCAATTCAGTTCTCCTCAAACGGCCAGTTAAAAGACTTGTTCTCCTGAGACTGTCAGTGAACTCTCTCTATGATCCTATTAAAATCAAGCATCAGTGATCCAGAAATTGAGCCAGCACATATTGGAAAATAACAGTCACCATAGGCTCTCATCTCATGACCTAAGATGGTTTTAAGACTTCTCTCTTTGCTTGCATCAATCACTTCTCATGGGTATAGATTATCAATAAATGATTACTAACAGAAAAAAAAAAGACCACCCTGCTCTTCACTGGGGATGAAAACCAACAGGAAAAGGAATTGGAAGTATCCAGGTTCTAGTCAGGTGTGAGTTCCGTAGGACACCAATGGGTCACCTACCGGCAATTGGCCATTCTTTGTGTTTTTCACAAGTAAATCGAAGAACATCCGTAAGGCATCACAGAGTTGGCGTTTTGAAAAAGCGTGGCATTTTTCCGAAGGAAAAGAGGCTTCATTTTAATTAATGATAAATATTATGATATTTTGAGGTCCACCAGTTTTTCTAACCACCTTCTATTCATATAGTGTTTGACGAGAGATAACAAGCTGTCATTTACAATATTCTTTTTGTTTCTAATATTTGTTATTCTTGGTTCTTGTAGTCATACATTTTCCATTTAGTTCCTACCTTGGTGAACTTAAGTCAGACTCAGAGTAAGAGAAGCATTCTGAGGAGATATAAAAATATAATAATTGTCATGTGTTGAATGACTGAATAAAAGACCATAAATAGTTTGTTGACCAGAGGTTTTTCCTGCCCAAGTTAGTCTCAATGTAGCTGTCAGATTTATAATTTAGTAGTCTGTAGCACATGGCCTTTGTAATTCATGTAATTCATTTCTTTTTGAGATTTTTAATGAAAAGTGGCATCCTAGTGAACTTCACAAGGAAAATATCTTTTCATTTTCTTTATCAGTGATTATTGATTATTAGTTGACTCCTCATGTGAATTCTAATTTCCTCCAATAGGAAACACTAACTTGGCTTTTAATAAAAATAGATTTATCCAGATAATCACCTAAGACTACATTTCATTTATTGTTTTCAGAAAAAAATCACTAAAATGAAATTTTAAAAGGTTGATTTGTCACAGCCAAGATATGAAACTGTAAATACATAAAAAAATGATTTTAAGGACATTTATTGTTTCTATTACCTGAGAATTTCATTTGAAATTACTTCATTCACAAGTTGTATGATTATGTTTTAGGGATTGTGTGTGTGGAGGTGGCCATAATTATGTTCCTCAATTGCTTAGTTTTCCAGGTTTTTTAAAAAAAAGTTTTCGTAGGCAATGGGGATAAGTGACTTGCCCAAGGTCACACAGCTAATGTCAAGTGTCTGAAACTGTATTTAAACTCAGATCCTCCTGATTCCAGGGCCAGTGCTCTATCCACTGTGCCACCTAGCTGCCCTTTCCAGGTATTTTTAATACTCACCTGACTGGAGGAATCAGAAAAAGATTCATCAGCAATTTTATGTCTAAACTGAGCCTTCAAGAAAGAGAAAAATCCTTTGAAATGGAGGGAAATGGGGATCTATCATTGCATTAAAGGCAAACAGTACAGGGCATGCAAACATATGGAGGTGGGAGATGGAATGTTGAATTTGGGAAATACCATTAAGTCCAGTTTGGTTACAACATGGTGTGTTTGAAAGGGAGTAACTCAAGAGAAAAAAGGCAAGAAAAATGACATTGGAGTAAGATTGTGAAAGACAGTGGAATTTGTATTTTAGCCAAGGAGCAAGTAGGAATCAGTGAATTTTTTTTCAGCAAGAGGGGACACTGTTTATTTCAGGAAAAAAAAAAACTTAAGTAATTTCTGGAAGTTAAGCTGTGGACTAACTGGAGGAAAGAGAAATAAAAACAAAGAAGGAGTTTAAGAAGCAATTGTAATCATTTCAGTGAAGATGATGCAAGCTTGAGTGATGGCTATGAGAGTGGAAAAGATGGATGGATACCAGAGATGCTGTGACAAATGTGTTATTGAACCAACAAGGTTTCATGATTGGTTAGATATTGAGGTAAAGGAAAGGGCAGAGGAAAGGATTTCTCTGAGGGTATGAATATAGGTTACTTGGAGGATGATGGTACCACCAGCTAAAATAAGTAGATTTGGGCAAGGGACAGGCTTAAGGTTCAAAGTGATAAATACATTTTTGTATACTTTGGATTCTATCTATAGCACATCTATTGAGGATCCCAAGAAGGCATTGGTAACACATAGCTAGACCTTTGGAGAGAGATGAAGATTGGGTGTAGAGATCTGGAAATCACCAGCTGAGAGGGGATCATTGAAATCATGGGAGCTGAAGAGGACTCTAGTTGAGGAAACATGTAGGGAGAATAGAAAAGGTTTCAAGACTCAGACTTGGGGGATCATATGTGAAGATAATGATGCAGCAAAAGAGTCAGGTTAAAATACGAATTCCACTGTCTTTCACAATCTCACTCCAGGGTAATTTTTCCTGCCTTTTCTCCTCTCACAGTATTCCTTTCAAGCACTCTATGTTCTCACCAAGCTGAACTTAATAGCATTTCCCAAACTCAACATTCCATCTCCCACCACCATGTATTTGCACACTCTGTCCTGCTTGCCTTTAATGCAGTGATAGATAGTTCCTGGTTTGCCTCCAACTCAAGGGATCTTTACCTTTGTTGAAGGCTCAGCTCAAACAATATATTGATGATAAATCTTTTCTTCTGATCCACCCTGTCATTAGTATTCTCTCCCTCTTCAGATTTCCTTGCTTTTATTTACCTTTGTATACTGTACACATTGCCCTCTTCTGACTGGTGACTATAAGTTAATTGATAGCAGAGATAGTTTTGTCTTTATGTTGCTTGTATTATACACAGAATATATTTATATTGTTTTTATATATTTGTATTATTTTATGTTGTTTATATTTTTATATTGTATATTTATATTTATTATAGCACACTAAATTACACTTCTCTAAAAATTTTTCTTACTTTCTAGTGCACAATGGACATGATTCCCTACACTGATATGGATCCCAAACTTGACTGAATGGTATAGTAACTGAGAGGTTTCTAGTGTGCTAAGAGGTTAAGTGACTCCCTACCATGTACCCAGCCAGGACGGGCTAGAAGTAGACTCTGAACCCTGATCTTAGGCTGTACTTCCTTTCAGCTTTGGACATTGCCTGCTTGTTATTGTTTGTGGTGGTGGTGGTGGTCTTTCACTCTTGGAGAAGACCAATGACATTATGAGGATGATATCCTGACTTGTGTGTGAATTGGATATAAGAGATGCAGAGCTGCCCAAAGTTGTCATCCTCACTCTGGCCAGCACATTGCAGACACTTAGTAAGTGCTATGATCACTGAATCACAGAATCTCAGTCTGGAGGAGACCCAAGGGGTCACCTAGACTAAGCCAAATCTGAAGAAGAATACCTTCAACAATCCATTTATAGCATACCATAGTAGATAGAGTGGTCTAATTGGAGTTAGCAAAATCTGCATTCAAATCCTGCCTCAGACACTTACAAACTCTTATTTAAAAGACTTATGCTCCAGTTATCAGTAATCATGTCCTCTACATGTAGATCTGCCCAGAATGACGAGGATTAAACATTTGATATTTTAGTTTTCAACTTGGAGCCTTCAATTATACAGTCTGTTGTTAAACTTGCCTTGTTAAATGACTTGTTGGCATGGGTAGGTACTGAAAATTGGCACAAAATCAATATTATTCAGAGTCAGTGATGACAATTCAAGCTCACTATTGACATTATTTACAACCACAAAATTAGCATATCAATAATGGCAGAGTTTAAATAGCTCTGAGATACCCTGAAGTCCATCCTCTCTTGAAAGAAGATCTCTTCTTCCAGTCTTCTCTTCTAGGTAATATTTCCCACATATCAACTAATTTTTTATTCTAACCTATCATGGCATGGGCATCTTATCTATGAAAAATATATGGGAGGAATAAAATAAATGTTAGATAAGAATGGTTTATAGAGAAATACTGATGTTATTTTAATATTGAACATAGGAATATTGGTGTGGGGAAAGGGAGATGTGATAGAATTATAGTTCTAGAACTGGTTAAAAAAACCCCAGAATCCATTGAGTATAACTTAATCATTTTACAGATGAGGAAACTGAGGCTTAGGGAGCTTAAGTAACTTGCCTGAATCCTCCTGTTTGGTAGGATATTAGAGAAATGCAGATGGCCCATTTTTCATAGACAGCAACATGGATTCTATAAATTTTGAGGTACTAAGGGGACCATAAGGGTCTTGGAAAAAACTTAGTACAAATCCCCTAAAAATAGAAATAGTAAAAAAAAAAGGAATAACTGACAGTTTGACATACTGTTGTCCACTTGAGTCTTTGCTAGTCTCCTCATTCTAAAGATCAGATAAGCTATTGCTTTTCTCTTTTAATGTCATGTCACATGGTTCTCCCCCTTCTTTCTCAATACAGAGATTTTGGAAGTCTTCTCCTGAAATGGCTTGTTGTCCCATTGAAGGAGGATCACCTGCTTAACTTACTCCCCTCCTCTGCTGCCCAGATACTCCTCTCTTCTAGCTTTCCTTCCTCTGATTTTTGCTGCCTCTGCTTTCTCTTTTGATACTCTTCTTTTTGCAACAAATGTATTTTTGTTTTGCTTTGTTTGGACTCTTTTCCTTGACCCTCTCCTTCCACTCCTAAGGCTTCCTCTTGAATGTATTAAATATTATTAGATTAAGCAAACAGTAAATTTACCATGCTTACCAAGTTGTAGGGTTTTGCTGTCCCCAGCTTATTTTTTTTGTCGAAATTCAGTCAACTCAAGGCTTTTTTTTTTATTATCTGGTTTTGGAAAAATGCCATGTTTTTGTTAGTAGTAAGTAACTACAAAGATTGAGTGACAATATGATGTAATGGAAAGAAATCAGTCATAAAGTCATGACATTGTTATCTCAGTTGGTGGTGCACTAGGCTTGCAATCTGGAAGACTCTTCATGAGTTTAAATCTGGCCTGAGATACTTGCTAGCTATGTGACCCTGGGCAAGTCACTTAACCTTGTTTGCCTCAGTTCCTTATCTTCAAAATGAGCTGGAGAAGGAACTGGAGCTAAACGCCCTAGTATCTGCCACAAAAACCCCAAATGGGTCCACTAAGAGTCAGACACCATTGAAATGAATGAACAACACAGTTGGAAGAGACTTCATTGGGGTATCTAGTGTGATTTATAATGGAACAAAATATTCTCAACAATATACTCTACAAATAGTCATCCAGACTGTGCATGGTGTCTAGTGGTGGTGGTGACAAAGGGGAATGGGGCTCACTACCTACCATGGCAGACCAGTCTTCTTTTAGATAGCTCTAATTGCTAGGATATTTTTCTTTCCATTGAACCTAAAGCTTCCTCTTTGCATTTTTAGCCATGAGGTCATGTTGTCTCTCCTGAGCTCCAGTTCCACATCACCATGTAATGAGCTATTGGACATTCGGAAGTGGCTGCTCTGTGGTCAACTCAAACTCTCCAGGACTAAAACAGAAGTCGTTATCTTCCCTCCCCACCCCAACCCCACACCTATTCTGAACTTACCTATTTCTGTTAGAGTGGGGGAGAAGGTCAGGGAGAGGGAAAGAAATGAGAATTTCTTAAGTACCTGCTGTGAATCAGTCTTTGTGCTATGCTCTTTATAAATGTTATCCCAATCGAGCCCCATTTAGCTAGTTACCCCGATGTAAGAATTCATCCTCACCCATAACTACTCCTTCTCCCCAAATTTCCATTTACTTACCAGATGTGGATGATTCTGGGTCTGCCACATCTCTCACATTCATGCCCTTTTAGAGGAGGTCAGGCCTTCATCACCTCCCACCTGAATGACTACAATAGCATCCTCATTGATTTCCCTGCCTCTAGTCCTTTCTCCAGTCCATCCTCCACACAGCTGACAACAGGATATTCCTCAGGTACAGCTCTGCCAGGTCACTGTGGTGGTCCTTAAGTTCCAGGGGCTCTAGGATAAGATATGACCCTTCTGTTTCACAGCAGGCTCAGACCTTAATTTCTAGGTTTTTTATACACTGCTTACTTTCATGTAGAAATACAGTCCAGGCAAACTGGCCTTCTCCTTGCTCTTCTTTACACATGACTCTCCCTCCATCTGTCTTCTCCATGGCTTTGCACAGGCTGGCCCCCGAGACTGGAATGTATTTCCTCCTCATCTCTTCTGCTTAGAATCATTTTTCTTCTTCAAAGCTCGTCATCGGTCACATCTCCCACCTGAGGCTTTTCCTAATCACCCAAGTTCTAGTGCCTCCCCCACAAAGAAAATGCCTTTTATTTGTTTTTGGACATAGATTGACTATGGTTTATAGTTTGAATGTAGCTTTTACATCATTTGGAATATGTGTGCACATGTTATTCATACTGATAAAATGTAATCTCATTGAGGGCAGGGACTCTTCAGTTCATGTCTGTCACCCTTAGCACAAGCACTAGGCCTTACCCATCGTGAGTTCTTGAAAAACTTGTTGATTGATTGATTGACAGGGTCAGAAGACCCCTGTTTGAGTCCAGATTCAGCCATTTGCTATCAGGGGGTCTTGCCTATATTGCAATTGCCATATTCCTAAATCTTGGGTAATAATATTCATCCTTATTCCTTGTTTTGAATATCAAATAAGACAGCACATAGTAGCCAGCATTTATATTGCATTTTAAAATGTGCAAAGTTCTCTAGGAACATCTCATTGTATCCTTGTAACAGCCTGGGAGGGAGGTGAGATTATTACCTTAATTTCACAGATGGGGAAACTGAGGGAGGCAGAGGTTAATTGACTTGCCCAGAATCACACACCTAATGAAGGTCCAAGGAACACAGAATTTCCATACTGCAGGGTCACCTCTTTCTCCACCATCACCTGGCTGTCTCAGTAGATGTCAGAAGTATTTTTTAAAATGTAAGTTTCTTTTTAAAGGTGAATTGTTGGTATCATATTACAAGTCTGAAATCCTCACTTAGAGATATGCCAAGTGTATTTCTCTGGGACTCAGTTCCCTCATCTGTAAAATACATTGTAGCTTTTACCTTGCAAGGTTTACATGTAAGGATGAGAAGAGATAATTCATATCAAAGTACCTTGATAACTTCATAATACTAGATACATGTGAGAGAGCCAAGACAGGACGAGTGAAGAGCTGGTCTCAGAGGCAGGAAGTCTGACTTCCCTCACTTACCCTAGCTCTCTGACCCTGGGATACCTCTTATCCTCTCAGGGTCCCAGGCAACTTTGTAGGACTCTCAATTGCAGAGAAGGGAGACCTTGAAGTCAAGGTCCTTTTCCTTTTCCCTATAAATGTGAGCTGTTATTTTTACCTAAGGCTCCTGAGCACAGAATTCACTTGAGACAAAGAAATACTGCCCTGAGTCTTAAAGGGACAACCCAGTCAATTTGGATACTTCAGCATTTTCTGAGTTCCCTCTCTTCAATATCAGATGATTAGGGCTGATTGATATAGACAACGGTGGTCATAAAAACTGAAGGTCATTAAGCAAAAGTAAAAATGCAACTGTCTCTTCCTTCTTCTTCCCTCCTTCCTGGATCTCTCCCTCCCTTCCTCTTTTCCTACTTTCCTTCCTCTCTTCCCTTCCTTGGGCTACTTCTTTCTTTCCTTCCTTCCTTCCTTCCTGCCTTCCTTTCTTCTCTCTCTCTCCTGTTAAGGTGATTTATTTCATATGACTCCACATATTTGTGATTCTTTGTTTTCTTTCCTTTTGAAGTGAGTGGAGGAGGAGTTAGGAGAGTATTTGAAACTGAAAATAAATGAAATTGAATTTTAAAAAATGTTTCTAAAACCTCATGAAACCTATGTGTGTGTCTGTGTATCTGTCTGTCTGTGTATAATGAGGGAGAAAAAGTGAAAGGGGGGGGGAGAGCTTTCATGTGTGTGCAATAACTTTATTGATTGGGTGTCCTACATCCAAATTCTGGCTCTGCCAATCACTGGCTACATAATGACAAATCACCTGAGTTTCTGAGACTCGGTTCCATCATCTATAAAATGAAAACAATCAGTTCTTGGAATGAAAACACTCTAAAATTCAACAGCACCAAAGAAATGGGAGTTAATTTATTTACCTAAGTTCCTTCTTCATTGGAAATACAAATATGACCTAAAGCAGAAAACAGACAAAAGACATCAGGGATTTCTCTCCTCTCTATTCCGCAGGAGACTAGAACCATGAAGCTCTTCCTTGTATCTTTCCTCATGGCTTTCCTGGCTGTCCAGGCCGTAAGTACTCAGGGAAATGGAGAAGGGGCTGGTGTCGGGAGCAGTTGATCCCTCTTTCCAACAATGGTCCTTCAGCATCTGGAGATGTGGTTTTATATTTGCATTCCCATGTCTCTGGATTGGTACATTTTATTTATTTATTCAATCACTTATTTATTTACTCATTCATTCATTCATTCATTCATTCATTTATTTTTTGTTTGTTTGTTTATTCATTCATTCATTCATTTATTTATTTATTTTACTATCTGTATTGATCTCTGAAAATCTAGATAAATTCGCTGTTGGCTGCAGCCTCAGCTAAGTAACTATTCATTTTACACTCCCAGATTTTTCCTGACAAGATCTATTATTTCCGCTAACAAAAATGAAGATAATGAATGTTTATCTAGCTATTTGGGGAAAAATTCTGCTCTTCCCTCGGTGTAGGGGTAACTCATTCGATAACCCAGAGAGTTAAGTCAATTCACTGCTTGGGTTTGAGGTGATTTTTTCCCCACAAACACACAACATATATGTGTGTGTGTGTGTGTGTGTGTGTGTGCGCACATGTGCACATGTGTATGTGTATACATACATACATATATATATATATATATATATATATATATATATGAATCTATTGATGTTTTTTTCTTTTCCAAAGAGAGCTGACCGTTCATCTGAAGAGGTAAGACATTTTCAAATAAATGTTAAGTAGTTTAATATTTAGTAACATGTATCCTTAAAAATATTTTTTTCTTTATTTGAACAGAGATATTTTGATTGGCATTGTCCCTATCACGTAAAACTATAATTTATTTTGTTTAACATGTCATTTGTTGGATTTAACACATTGTAATTTAATAGTGTATTTCTTTCTCTTTAACTTTCCCCCTCCCCAAATATCTCATCACTCATCATTCCTGAGCAAATAATGATTTAAATAAAGCAGAAACAGATATTGCTTCCATTCAGTAAGTGTGAGGCTGCTAGGGGTTTGGAAGCACTGAGTACACAATCTCTGTATATTTATTTTCTAGATTCATTGATTGGGATAGAATTGCTACATTAGAATAATCATGTTAAATAAGGTAAAATGTTTACTGCAAGACATGATGTCTCTATTCAGTCTCTTCTTCCGGCTTCCCTAAATTGTACATTACTTTGCTAATGATTCTATAGGATTTCACTAACTCATTCCAAGAATAAGGGACATCGGGGCAGCTAGGTTGTGCAGTAGATAGGTCACTGGCCCTGAAGTCAGGAGGACCTGAGTTCAAATCTGGCCTCAGACCAAATACTTGACACTTATTAGCTGTGTGACCATGGGCAAGTCACTTATCCCCAATTGCCAAAAAAAACAAAAAAGAAGAAGGAGAAGGAGAGTAAGAGACATCAGAGGTGATCTCTGGACTTATGGATGTTTTAGGGCTCTCTGTTTATCCCTACAGTCTTAAGTGACTTACATTTACATGTCCAGGGCCTTGCACAAAGGAAGATCTTAACAAATATTGGTTGAATTGACTTGGTTTGGCTCGATTTGGATTTGGAGAGTGAGGAGTTGACCTACCTCCTCCAATTCTGATCTAATTATGCTCCTATTTACTAGCTCCTGGACCCCAAACTGATTTCTGGTTACATTTTTGTGGCTAAACTGAATTGTGTTTATACACCAGCTTGATGGTGCCCGATACTTGCCATACATTCTACGGAATGGTTCCGTTCTCTCTTTCATTGACTCCTGGCTATATCTGAGGAATTCGAGTGAAATGCATTTTCTCAAAGAACTCATAGCTATTGCTGCAGAACACTCATTGAAGCATGAAGAGTTCAGTCCACAATATGAGATGATTTTCTCCTGAGAACAACTCTTTCATTAATTCTTCATGTCACTTAGATGGGTTTTTGTGCCAGCGTCCTTCAAACATGAAAATAAATTTACTTGATGCTTTGAAATTGATCTTTAAGAAGGATTTCAGTTTACATCAGTGGGCATTTCCCTCCACAGTCACTATCATCATTCTATCCCAGGCATTCAGGTTTCAATCTGCTGTTTATTACCTCTGTAACACTGATCAGGTCACTCCACTTTTCCTATTCTAAGTTTCAGTGATGATGGACCAGATTTCTAAGGTTCCATCTCACTCAGTCTAGGAATCTCCTGCTGAAGATTCATCTATAAACTTTGCTTCTAAACTCTTTCTTTCAGAGGCCACAGTGTCTCTCTCACAGTATCATCTCTCTCTAACCCTCTCATCTAACCCCTTCATTTCACAGCTGAGGAAACTGAGGCCCCTCAAGATTGAATGACTCACAAAAGTTCACACAGGCAATGGGTATTAGAGGCAGAGTTTGAAGCCAGGTCCCTCTCATATAACCCCTTCATTTCACAGCTGAGGAAACTGAGGCCCCTCAAGATTGAATGACTCACAAAAGTTCATACAGGCAATGGGTATTAGAGGCAGAGTTTGAAGCCAGGTCCTTTAATCCTAGAGGTATTTACTTCTTTCCATTATATCATGCATAAGAATAGAGAAGCCAGTAACAGTAATGACCATCGTCTTTGGTTATCTTCTTCCTGTGGAATCAGGAAAAGTCTGTGCTTTTTCTTTTTCATCTTTCTCCCAACGGAGTCAAGGAAAGCACACTGTGAGAAAATATGGAAAAGAGAACTAAGTTTTTTTTTTTTTAATTAGGAACTATGAAAAGAATAACTAGTATTTGGGAATGAGGCTTCTCCAGCTTATCAAATAAATCATATTTGAAGAATTGGTGAGTCCTCATGGGTTAGTTGATTGAGAGATTTCCTGTAATTGTATTAATGAGTCCAAATATATACATGTCAGGTCTACTTGAGAGCTCAGACAGGTGAGTCAGGTTATCCAAATAACCCTGTCATGGTTGAGCAGTTGTATGAATCCTGTTACATTTGTACATACCTATTTTTTCAGTGTTATAAAGGATATTAAGGAATTGACAATCTTATGAATGAAGAAGAATGCCCCAACCTTATATCTGCTATTTTCTCTTTCTTTTATAAGCCATATTTTAGAAGATTTGCTCCAAGGCCTCCGTATCCTGGAAATTTTGGATATTTTCCAAGGGTTCCATATCCTCAATTTCCTGGATATCCTCCATATCCATATGCATATTATCAGAATCCTGAAAATCCTCCATATTATGCATATCCTACAAATGCCGAAAATGCACCCCAAGAAGAACCTCAATAAACACAGGTAAAGATAAGCTATGCTTACTGAAATCATGGTGGATGGGGTGGTGGAAAGAATATCAGATTTTGCCATTAAAACTTCTGGTTGAACTTCTGATTTGCCCCTGAATAGCTGAATGACTGAACCAGCCACAATCTGAATGTCTCTTTTCCTGCAGAAGGTTTTGCTGGGTTACCAAAGGATACACCTAAAGCTTAGCTGTGACCATGGTGCTTATTCAATTCCCTGCCCCCTCCCAATAAAGTCTAGTTGTTCTACTATGTCCAGAATCAAATACAAAATTCAAAACATAAAAATATAACAACCTCCATGGCAGTTGCTCCTGAGTAGCCTTAACAGCTCATAGCAACAATAACAGGAACAGATTGCCCCCCAAATAATGTCATGGAATCAAACCTAAGGCAATATTTTCTGTTTTCTTGTAGCTTTGCCTGGAACACTGACTCGAGGTGTCTGTGAATCTACAAATTGGTCAATCTGCCCATCTGCCTAGTTATCAGCCTCTATTATTGAGCAACAGATAGTTGCTCCAACCTTGTTAGAGTAATATGAATCATTCTTCCAAAGGACTGATGCTCTCATTTACACTCCCCATATAATAAATTCAGTTCACAGCTTATTGAATTTCTGTTGTCCTTTTTTCCCTTCTTCCATTTGGATTCATATGTAGATGAGAATAACATAAGGAGAAGATGTGAAGTTTCTTAGTTTAAGAAGCAGAGACAGCCTTTTAAAACTGGGATTTTAGGTTGAAATCACATATCATACATAGGAATTCCTATGTATTCAGACACCCACTTGGAACATGGCACCATAGGAGAAGAGCCATCCTGGAGTCAAGGACACCCGGGTCCAGTTCCATCTTGGTGACCATGGGCAAAGCAGTTAACCTGTCAGTACTCTAAATGACTGACCAGAACTGTAACGCAGAGGAAATGGAGACCCCTATAGGCAGACACAGAGATGAAATCATGGGTCTGCAAAACATAATACATATATAAGCTGGTTCCACTGATAGAATGTAACTTATTTTTTTTTCAAGTAGCAGTATCTAGTTTATTTATGCCTGTGAAAGGTAGATGTCACAGCACGTACCCCTCATGGGTGGAGTGCCCGCCATTTGTCCAAGGTCCCCCAGCTGGAGATATATTTAACCCCCACAGCCATCAGGAATGAGATGCTTCTCAGCTATCATATCCTCAAACTCATGAGCATTGAACTTGGTGAAACCCCATTTCTTGGAGATGTGATCTTCTGGCGACCAGGGAACTTGAACTTGGCTCTATACAAAGCTTCAATCACATGCTCTTTATTCTGGATCTTGGTTAGAATTGACATGATAACTTGGCCAATGTGTACACGGGCTACAGTACCCTGGTGCCTCCAAAGGCTGCCATGCCAGTTTGGAGCCTAGGAAAAGTAGAGTATTAAGAAGGTCACATTTCAAATTCTGTGAAGTAGGTGTTTGCTTATTCTTAGCATAAGTGTCTCCGAGGTCCCTTAGAATACCTGGTATTAAGGACAAGGTACACACACAACCAGGGAAATACTATCCGCAACCATTGCACACAAATGTAAGTTCTTTGAAGCAGACACTATTTCATTCTTGTTGGTGACTTTTTGCCTTTTTTTTATTTGCTTGTTTGGGTTTTTTTTTTTAGGCTGCCCCAACTTTTTCCTTTCTTTGTATCCCCAGAGGTTAGCATAAGTGCCTGGCACACAGTAGGTGCTTAAATGATAGCTCACTCTCTGACTCCAGTCCTAGACCCTAGAAAGCCTGGCCCTTTGTAGTTAGCTTAATAAATGAAGCCTGGTTGATTAAGTTGAAACTTTATCACACTGGCACACTACACATTCAGTGTGCTCTTTGGGAGGGAAAAGAGCACATTGCATTTTTGTGGGGTTCAATTATAACAAATCTGTTTGTTATCTTAAATGGTGGTAGTTTGATCAGCAATCTTTTCCTAGAATTTATGGAAGAACACTAACGTTATGATGATGGAAAATTGATCTGAATTATAAATTTGGGAAGCCATCAGGCCTCTCTGTCAAGTAGTGCCCTGGGCTGAAGAACCATTGTGGCCAAGGAAAGAGGTGGCATTTCACACAATGTCGGATTTTACCAGAGAAGAAAAGGCCTCACTGTCACCTCTGAACAAAATGCCTTGAAAATTATATGTTCACCAGCTTCTTCAAATCATCTACTTACTGCTTGTGGTATAGGGCCTGAGATGATAAGAAAACTAGAAGAAAAAAGTTCTTAGGGCAACATGGCTAATTCATGACGCTTACTGTTCCTAAATAACCCAACCACAGACCAAATTCTTGCAGAAAACCCAAGGAATAACAAATGGTAATGGAAGCCGGTCATAAACTGCCATCACAAAAAGAGTTGGTATAAATATTCTTGTGTCTGTGAGTCATTCTCCCTTTTCTTTGATCTCTTTTGTGTATAGACCTAGTAGTGGGTCAAAGTGAATGCACAGTTTTATAGTCAGTCCTTCAGGCAAGAATTCCAAATAGTTCTCCATAATGGTTGGACTAGTTCAAAACTCCACCAAAAATGTATTAATATACCTATTTTTTCATACTCCCTCCATCATCTGTCATATTTTTTTCATTCTTGGGTTAGCCAGTCTGATAGGCATGATGTGGTACGTCAGATGTGTTTTAATTTGCATTTCCTAATCAATAGTGATTTGGAGCATTTTTTTTATTAATTTATTTTGATTTATCAAGAATCACTTCCATATGCTTTTGAGTTGAAAATTTTTCTCCCTCTTCCTCCCCCCACCTTCCCCAAGACGGTGCACAGTCTGATGTAGGCTTTACATTTACATTCCTATTAAACATATTTTCACATTAGTGAAGTTGTAAGTAAAAATTAAAACCAATGGAATGAACCATCAGAAAGATGACACAAAACTCAACAGAAGGTAAAAATAAGTGATAGTGATTCAACTTCCATAGTTCTTTCTTTGGATGTGGGCAGCATTTTCCATTACGAGGCTTCTGGAGATGTCTTAGATCCTTGTAATGCTGAGAAGGGCTCAGCTTAACAATATTAGTCATTGCATAATGTGACTGTTACTGTGTGCAAAATCCTCTTGGTTCTGCTCACTTCACTCAGCATCAGACCATATAAGTCTTTCCAGGTTTTTCTGAAGTCAGCCTGTTCATCATTTCTTATAGCACAATAGTATTCCATGACATTCATATACCACAACTTGCTCAGCCATTCCCCAATTGATGGGCATCCTCTCAATTTCCAATTCTTTGCCACCACAAAAAGAGCTGCTATGAATATTTTTGTACATGTGGGTCCTTTTCCCATTTGTTTGATCTCTTTGGGATATAGCCCTAGAAGTGCTATTGCTGGATCAAAGGGTATGCACATTTTTGTAGCTCTTTGGGCATAGTTCCAAATTGTTCTCCAAAATGGTTGGATAATTTCACAACTCCACCAACAATGTATTAGTTTCCAATTTTCCCACATCTTCTCCAACATTTATCATTTTCCTGTTTTGTCATGTTGGCCAATCTGATAGGTGTGATGTGGTACCTCAGAGTTGTTTTGATTTGCATTTCTCTAATCAATAATGATTTAGAGCATTTTTTCATATGACTATAGATGGCTTTAATTTCTTCATCTGAGAACTGTCTGTTCATATCCTTTGACCATTTATCAATTGGGGAATGGCTTGTGTTCTTATAAATTTGTCTTAATTCTCTATATATTTTAGAAATGAGGCCTTTATCAGAGAGACTGGTTGTAAAAATTCTTTCCCAATTTTCTACCTTCCTTCTAATCTTAGTTGCATTGGCTTTGTTTGTGCAAAAACTTTTCAATTTAATGTAATCAAAATTATCCATTTTGCTTTTCATAATGTTCTCTATCTCCTGTTTGGTCATGAATTCTTCTGTTCTCCATAGATCTGATAGGTAAACTATTCCTTGTTCTCCCAGTTTACTTATGGTATCAGCCTTTATATCTAAGTCATGAACCCATTTTGACTTTATTTTGGTATATGGTGTGAGATTTGGGTCTATGCCTAGTTTCTGCCATACTCTTTTCCAGTTTTCCCAGCAGTTTTTTTCAAAGAGTGGGTTCTTATCCCAGAAGCTGGGGTCTTTGGGTTTATCAAATAATAGATTACTATAGTCATTGACTACTGTGTCTTGCATATTTAACCTATTCCACTGATCCACCTCCCTATTTCTTAGCCAGTACCAAGCAGTTTTGATGATTGCTGCTTTATAATACAATTTAAGATCTGGAATTGCTAGGCCACCTTCCCCTGCATTTCTTTTCATTAGTTCCTTTGATATTCTGGACCTTTTGTTTTTCCAAATGAATCTTGTTATTATTTTTCTAACTCTATAAAATAATTTTTTGGTAGTTTGATTGGTATGGCACTGAATAAGTAAATTAGCTTAGGTAGGATTGTCATTTTTATTATATTAGCTCGGCCTACCCATGAGCAACTGATGTTTTTCCAATTATTTAGATCTGATTTTATTTGTGTGAAAAGTGTTTTGTAATTGTGTTCATAGAGTTCCTGGGTTTGTTTTGGGAGGTAGACTCCTAAATATTTTATAATGTCTACAGTAAGTTTAAATGGGATTTCTCTTTCTATCTCTTGCTGTTGGGCTTTGTTGGTAATATATAGAAATGCTGATGATTTATGTGGGTTTATTTTATAGCCTGCAACTTTGCTAAAGTTGTTTATTATTTCAAGTAGTTTTTTACTTGATTCTCTAGGATTCTCTAAGTATATCATCATGTCATCTGCAAAGAGTGATAGCTTTGTTTCTTCTTTGCCTATTCTAATGCCTTCAATTTCTTTTTCTTCTCTTATTGCTAAAGCTAATTTCCAGTACAATATTGAATAACAGTGGTGATAATGGACATCCTTGTTTCACCCCCGATCTTATTGGAAATGCTTCTAGCCTGTCCCCATTACATATAATGCTTGCTGAAGGTTTTAGATAGATGCTATTTATTATTTTAAGGAAGACTCCATTTATACCTATGCTTTCTAGTGTTTTTAATAGGAATGGGTGTTGTATTTTATCAAAAGCTTTTTCTGCATCTATTGAGATGATCATGTGGTTTCTGTTGGTTTTGTTGTTGATATGCTCAATGATGCTGATAGTTTTCCTAATATTGAACCAACCCTGCATTCCTGGTATAAATCCTACCTGGTCATAGTGTATTATTCTTGTGATAAGTTGCTGCAATCTATTTGCTAGTATTTTGTTTAAAATTTTTGCATCTATATTCATTAGAGAAATTGGTCTATAATTTTTTTCTCTATTTTGACTCTTCCTGGTTTAGGTATCAACACCATATTTGTATCATAAAAAGAATTTGGTAAGACTCCTTCTTCATTTTTTCCCAAATAGTCTATATAGTATTGGAATTAATTGTTCTTTAAATGTTTGATAGAATTCGCATGTAAATCCATCTGGCCCTGGAGATTTTTTCCTAGGGAGTTCATCAATGGCTTGTTCAATTTCTTTTTCTGAGATGGGGTTATTTAAGTATTTTACTTCCTCTTTGGTTAATCTGGGCAATTTATATTTTTGTAAATATGTATCCATTTCACTAAGATTGTC